ATAGGTTTTTGTCATCCTGTTATTGAGTTGTAAATGCTGGTTTTGTGATTTTTCTTAGTTTGTTGTAGTAGCAGGCTTCATTTGGGGAAGGGGTAGAGTCACCCCCCTCATCCCCTGTCCTTTGTTTTCGATTTCTGGAACTAGTACAGTGGGACTATTTCTCCAATCCAAGAAAAGTGAGCTTTGCAAATATTTACTAAAATGGCTCATTATGTTGAAGGCGGAGAAGGCGCAGGAGGGGCTGGTCCTGGGGCTGCAGCCTTGCACCGAGCCCTGATGAATGCACTCTGCTGGGCATGTTTGCAATTTACAGATTATCTCCAGTGCCCACGTGGGGTCTCCTAATCCCCTATTTTTCTCAGCGCCTAGAGACTATTTCTCTTTTTTCCATTTATTTTTATTCAGTTAGTGCCTTTTGGATGCCTGCAGCTCTCGCTCTTGGCTGTGGTGAGAAACAGCCCAGAGAGTAAGACACGGGTTTGTCCTTGGGAAAAGAGAACCACAGGCAGACACACGGAGGCAGCAGGGTGTGTAGCGAGGAGCAGGGTGAACATGGAAATCACGATGCCCCGTGAAAGGACCCAGATACACAGTGTGGTGCCCAGAGGGAGGGGTTCACCTAAGGCAAGTGAACGGTCCCCCTCCCAGGTCAGCCCTGGATGAAGAGTTGGCCACGGGGGTGGGGGGAGCTTCCCAGGGCCAGTTGCTGAAGGCACTGGAACAAAGGAAGGCGACAGGACATATGTTGTGACAGAACCCTCCATAAAAGTGTGTGTGTGTGTGTGTGTGTGTGAGTGAGAGGGAGAGAGAGAGAGAGAGAGAGAGAGAGAGAGAGAGAGAGAGAGAGAGAATGAATATGGGAGATACTCAGCGGGCTGGGACCTGGAAGGGCGCCTGCTGATTGCTGGTGAATGATTACTTCCTCTTCCCTGCCAAGCACCAGGGGGGAACTTGAGTTTGGGGTGGGAGATAAGATGTCCAGGACCTGTGGGGAAGGGCCCCGCAGTCCCCACTGCCCTTCCTCTGGGGCAGCTGTGTAGTCCCTGGACTGCTACGGGCTGGGGAGGAGCTGAGAGCTGCAAAGTCCTGGGAGATCTTTGTGAGGAGCTGGGGCTTCCCCTGGAGCAAGAAGAGGGGCAAGGTTTAAAGAATTTTAAGGGAAGGTGTAGAATGTTCTGGAGTCTTCCATGGCTGCCCTGGGAGCTACCTGGTGTTGTGCACCGTTGGCCACCCAGGACGGTGTTAGAGTGGCCTGAGGATGTCCAAGGTTCTCTGCGGTCCACTATACCTTTCAAAAGAGCTGAAGGAAAAGAGTTTGAAGGTTGCCAACACACGGGATGGAGAGTCTTTGAGGCAATGGAAATGCTAATTACCCTGCTCTGATCATTGCACATCCCAGACAAGTATGGAATTGCCCATCAGTTCAGCATTGATAAGTACAGATGTCATGTATCGATTTCAAAATTAGGAAAAAGAATGTCTGATATCCTAAAACTATTTTTCTTCAGCAGCGGTCAGTTCCCATTGCGTGGTCCTCTCCCCTAGGATCCCACACAGTCACAGTAACAAATGACAGCACTCTTGGGTGGGCGAGGGAGACAGCCTGCAGGGCGCTGGAGAGGACCTGGTGGACCTTAGAGGGGGCGGAAAGAGCAGCTGGAGACGCTGTGAAGATAAAAGTCCTGTGTGTGATGGAGTCGGGCAGCTGGGGACAGGAGGGTGGGAAGGGTCTCGCCCCTGGTTTGGGCTGCTGTTGGGTGGTGCTGGTGACTCGTGCCCTTGGAGGACATTCACGTGTGACATGGGGATGTGCCGGTCTGCGTTCCTCGAGAGCTCGTGGAGATAGTGACTGCTGGGCCATCTCAGAGTGGCTGCCGTTGTGGAAGATGGCTTCAGGAGGAGGCCACAGAGGTAGAATGAGTAGTTAATTCTTGACTCGGGATCTGCAATTCAGTCACCAGCACCTTGTGAGGCTACTGCCGCAGCTAGACTTTTAGAAGATCCCCGGATGAGACGCGTCACGTATCTTTGTTGCTGTATTTCAAAAGGAAAATTTCCCTGTGAAATCTGATCTCACTCTGTTGAAAGTGGTGCACCCCCATATTTTTCATCAGAGGAAAACTCAGCCAGTTTTAGGAGAGACGGTTCCATCAGATCCCCGAAAACCTGGGGAGCTGTGGCAATGTGGGTGTGGGAGACCTGGGTTGGATCCTGGCCTTGCCATGACCTACGTGGCTATTGACCCTTCTCTGTTTCTTCATCTGTAAACAGAGATAATAAGAGTAACTAGCTCTGAAGGTTGTTGACCTAAACAGGGCTTTGTTCAACTTGAATGCTCAGTAAACATTAAGATCCTGCTTCATCAGGACACGTTGGGGTGAACTGGGGTCCATTCATTCTTCCCTTTCCTCGGCGCTGTCTAGATCCATGCTGAGCAATGGAATAGCTGTTAGCCTCGTGTGGTTCTTTAAATTGACATAAGCTAAAACTAAACAAGAGGGAAAATTCAGTTCTTAGTTGCCCCAGTCACATTTCAAGTGCTGGAAGGCCACTCGTGGCTGCCATATTGGATGGCGTGACATGGAGCACTTCCATCCCTCAAGAAAATTCTGTTGGACGGCACTAATCCTGAAACTGGGGGTATAGCTATGAGCAGAGCAGTTGCTTGTGTTTAATCTAAACATGGATTTTTTTGAGAAATCCAAACTTTTGGATGTGTTTCATTTTTCTCCAAGGAGTGGGATAATAGGGCGTCGACTCATGGGATGTTTGTGTCTCAGAACTAATTAGTAGGTGTTTCACGAGGTCCAGGCACATTCTTCTGGATTCATTAGGAAGGACTCTTATTAATAAGAAGGGCGTCAGGTGTGGAAAGTTTCCTAAATTTCCCATGAGAAGTTGGGAATGATCAATCAAGTAAATGACACGGCCCCCACCTTTCCTCCGTTTCACCCCAAGACTTTAGGTAGCAGATGGCACAGACCAGGGAGGAGTGGTGCCAAGGCAGGAATTCTGTCAGTGTAGAGATGGAAGCAGAGAGAAGCGAAGGGGCTTACTAGACGATGTAGGGAAGTTTCTAGATGCCAGGACTCTTGATCTTACAAGAACCTGTGAGAACACTGAGCAGCTAGTTCCCGAGGACTAGGGCTGAGGGGAAGAAGAATTCTGATTTCATAGTAAGATGGTTTTCTGCTTCTGCGTGACAGTGGGGGACACAGGGACCCTGACTTATTCCTCCTCTCTTCACTTACCCCTGTCCTTCCCATCATCTAAGGGGAGAGGCTAAATAAATTCTTAGAGCCCGAAGCCTCGACTAATAGGTAATCACTATTTTGCTAATTATTATTGCTTTTTGTTTTTTTCCTCGAGTCCCATTGACACCGAGAAAGCCATATCCATTTGTGCACACGCTCCTTGGGGAACTGGGACTGTTGAACTTGGGCTTGCTGGAGCTCCGTGCTGGGGGCGGGGGTGGGTGTGTATTTGTGAAGGTGTGAGCACACACACACACACACACACACACACGCAGGAGCACGCTTCTGCCAGAATGACTCGACTGGAGTCAAGGGCAAAGCAGTGATTTGAGACGACTTGATATTTAAATGTGTCCCTGGAAGCCCTGCTCATCTCCTACGTGAATATAAATAATCAAAAGTGGGTGGTGAAAGTGAGATTAGTTCCCCTGCTCCGTCTCCTTTCCCTTTCCAAAGGAGCTGGGGCGTTGGAGGAGAGGCACCGCAGGCAGGCAGGCAGACCTAGGTGGGAATGCACATGGCTGTCCGTGTGAGCCCTGCTCCCTGCAGCGCCACCCACGTGGGACATTTGTTTACACTGCATGCTGCTGCTCCCAGAGAGTCCTGGGGGACAGGTTCACAGCCCCAGGGGATGTAGCTGCCTGACTTAATATGCACAGCCGTTCACAGGGGCGCAGAAGGCAGTCTGGCTTTCTCCGGGAGGCCTCTGGGTACCACAGTGCCACGTTTGTCTGTAGAAGTACGATTTAGCCAGTCGTTCTTGGCCTGAATGCAGCTGCCTCCATCTGCAGGCTGTGGCAGGGGGGGGTGGGATTCTCGGTGCCTCCAGAGCTGACATTGGCTCTTCCTGCCCCCAGACCCAGGCAGGATTACACTGAAGATGTGCTGTCACATTCAGGCCCTGGGGAGGCCAGTGGGACTCCCATGCTATATCCTCGGACAGGAGTCCCTGGCTTACATACCTAGCAGTTTTCAAACTAGTCCAACATTTGTCTTCCCACCCGTTAATTGAGTACCTACACGGCGTAAGGAGACATCTTGGTCATAGAAGTGAACAGGTCAAAGCCCAGAAGATATGACATCTACTCTGAAGGAGCTTGTGGTCCATCCGGAACCTACCCATCACATTTGAAATGAGAAGGGAAGTTAGTATTTTTAAAATTAGTTCACTATGGAGACATATAATGTTGGGGTTCATTTTGATAATTACACAAGCCTGGAATAGAATTGGCTCCAGTTCAGTCCCGATATGTCCCCTTCCCCTTTCCTCCTCCCTTTCTGTTCCCTTTCCTCTACTCCATTTATATATAGCGTTTTTGTTTTTTTTTAAGATCAGTGCATTATGGATATACATAAAGGTGAAATTCACTGGGGTATATTCATACATGTACCTGGGAAAGTTAGGCCAGATTCATTCTACCCTTCCTTCTTTTCTCATCCCTCCTGTGTCCCCCTCGATACCCTTCCTCTGTCCCCCGATCTCTCTTCTTTAGGGAAATTAACCTTGTGAAGGGTACTTCTGAGGAGCAGGCCTGGAGTCGGGTGTGATACAAGTGTAACCTCGCACAGCTGACTCCCAGGTGGACATTCGCACCTCTCTCCCTCTTGCTAGTAAGAAATTTAACTACGGGGAAGTTAAATATTGCATCGTGGAATCTAAGTCGTGGATTCTTTTCACCTTCTAACATCTGAAATGTGGATGCGTCTTTTTTTTTTTTTTTTTTTTTTTTTTTTTTAACTTTGATACAGGGTCTTGCCGGGTGGCTGAGGCTGACTTTGAACTTGTGATCCTCCTGCCTCAGCCTCCCGCATTGCTGGGATACAGGCCTGCGCCACTGCTCCCAGCTGAATGATCGTGATTCATTTTTTAAAAATCGAAGTGAAGCTAAATGCCCACTGGAGTGTAGGACCAAGGTGGACCTGAGGAGTGGGCTGCGTCCCTGCATCAGTGTAGTCGTGTTCTGGGGCAAGGGTGAGATGTGACCAGTGGCTGCTTTTCTGTCCTCGGCAAGGGCCATCCTAGGAGGTACAGATGACTGCGGCCCATGCCTGACTGAGTCCTGAGAAGTCCCCAAGTGCAGGCCTGTGTGTTTATTATTATCACAATGCCCCGTGGCCAACACCGCAGACGAGAAGCAAGGTCTGTGAATGCCATGGCTGACCTGGATTCAGAGAGCGGTGGCAAGGGCTCTGTAGAGGAGTGACCACTTGTGACCAGGGCTTATACTCCATAGACTTGGTGGGCATGGCCCCCACGTGCTTAAACCAACACGGTCCCTCCGTGGGTTCCAACCGAGTCATTTTTCTGAGCAGCTAATAAGAAAAGCGAAGAAGGGGGACCGGCTGGGGAATTTGGCATCTCGGGTGGGAGGCCACAGAGAACATGGAAAGAGAAGGCACTGGCCACCGGGACGCCTGTCAGCTTAGGAGGACTGTCTCCTGGTGCCCCAGAGAAACTGAGTTGCTGAGGAGGGGAGTGGCTTACCAGCGTTCCTACCCTGGTCGCCGCCGACAGCCTCCTGGGGACCAAGCCCAGGTCTCTGGAGAGCGCGTTTCTTACCCTGTTCAATCATTGACTCACTCGGGGCCTCTGCTTTCCCAATAATGACAAGGATGACTTCTAGGAAGCTCTCCTAAGGAACTGGCTTCAAATAGTGATGACAGAACACCCACCGACTCAGTAGTGTTCACCGATGCCTTATTTGTAATCAGTGAAATACTAGAAAAAAATATTATTCCATATCAGAGCAGCTAGGTGCATCCTACCATCCTAGTACACACTCACCCTTGCCCAGAAAATTCAAGTCTGGTAGGTAAGAGGACCAAATCCTAATGGTGGTTATTTCCAAATTGTGGAATTATGGATTTTTTTTCCTCTCGTCTATATTTTCAATCTTTTAAAAATATGGTCATAGTGGGCCCAGTGTGGTGGGGCACGCTTATGATCCCAGTGATTCAGGAGGCTGAGGCAGGGGGGTCGCAAGTTCAAGGTCAGCCTGAGCAACTTAGAGAGAGAGACTCTGTCTCAAAATAAAAAGGACGGAGGATGTGTTTGATTCCCAGTAAAACACATACATACCCACAAGTTATGGTCATAGTGGGGAAAATTAATTTATTTTTCAAAAGAGAAAGGGCTGGGCCTATAGCTCAGTGTTGAGCACGTGTGAGGCCCTGGGTTCGATCCCCAGCCCCACCAAACAAAGAGACAGTAGCATGGTCTGATTGGGTGACTCTCCAGTTCTTCCGTCCTGTGATCCTTTGGGCCTGGGTGCTGTCCCCAGGTGTCTACACATGTGTTTGGTGGAAGAAAAAGGAGTCCCACATTATCCCAAGGGAAAGGCCGCCTCTTTTGGGAAGCGGAAGGGGGTGATTGTAGTCCAGGGGCGTTGCTGATGCTCGGTGAATCTGTGGGCGTGTCTCTGGGTCTGGATGTGCCACAGGTGCCTGGCTGCAGGGTGGTTTGTTTATATCCCACCGTGTGTGGCCAAAGCCGGAGCTGTGTGGACACACCCCAGGGGTTCCCTTTGCCTCCAGAGCTTGCCCCTGGTGGGAAGAGGCTCTTGCAGCTTCCCAGAGGTGGAGGGATGGTGCACCTGCCCTGTTCCAGTTTCTATTCCCCCTTTCTTTGCAGGAAGCTGCTGCTCAGCCAAACCCACGTTGGTGTCTATGGTTTGCAGCTTCAGAACCCTGACCCCGAGAAAACCTATCACCTCCTGCGTGGGGTGCTGCGCATCCAAAAAGGGTGTTGGCCTGGGAACCTGGATGGCTGCTTCTTGTCCCAACACCTTGGCCAGTTAGCCGTGGGACCTTGGGCGAGTGACCTCCCCGGCCTAGGCTTTCTCTTCCTGTAAAATGTAGACGCTAGAGTCGGTTTTTAAGAGCTCCTTCTGGTCCCCACCCTGTGTGTCTAATAACTCACTTTAAGAGCTTGGCACCGACAGGCCAAATTGGTGGTTGGTAAATATTTTAAGGTGCTGTTCTATTGCCATCGCTGTCACAGTTGATTAGCTTGGCATTCATGTTTCCTATTCAGTTACACAAACCTACACGATTCTGCTGCACACCAGGAAGCCACGTTCCCTTTATCTCCAGGGGAGGAGAAGATGCATTCCAGGGACAAAGGGGTGTGGCTGGCGAGGCTCGGGGGACAGCAGAGAGCGCGTGCTTACAGGCACACCTGCCCTTCTGTGTGTGGAGATGCGTGTGTGTGGCGTGTGCACCTGCCCACGTGTGTTGTGCCCTCCACGGTGGGTTTCTTTTCCCCCTTAAATTTTCCCTGATGACTGCGCCAAGAACACGTCTGTATGGGTAGGTGTTTTCACCAGCTGTCAAGCCAGCAATTCAGTGGGGCGCCTCTTAATCGCTGGGCACAAATTTACCAGCATGGTGGGCGTTTGTGGAAGCTGCTTCTGCAGGCGTTTCATGAAACCACTTGTTCTCCATCGCACCAAGGAATGATGTGGTTCTGCACCCTGTGGTTGTGTGGCCCTGAGCAGATCAAGGAATATTCACGCCAACCGACTCCAGGTCAGAAATTGTGTCATGGACAGTTTATGGGAGGCCACAGTCAGGGAGGTGACGGAGAATGTCACCCTGTAGTGTTTGAGTCATCTGCAGGTGCAGGGCTGCTTATGTGGGTGCTGGTGGCAGATGGGCTCCCTTGGTGGGTAGTCACCCTTCCTAAAAGGGAGAGGACATGACGTTGATGATCTCTGTGGGTGGAGAGCCTGTTGTTACTGATCATGACCCGGGCGGAGGAATTAGTCAACCTCACCAAACCAGTAAAAAGATAAAAGCCAGGGAGCGCCTTGTAAGGAAGAGAAACCCCGTTCCCTCTCCTCTCTCCTTCCTGCTCCTCAGATTAAAAACCCGCACCAGATGGCCACCAGAAGGAGGCACAGTGTCATCTTCCTGTACCTTCCAGAGAAGTTACATAACCAGAGCGTCTCGGGATCAGCACAGAATGAGGGAGCCACTGAGCCTTCCCTGCATCCCCGCGGGACATTTTTGGGTCGTCCAGCCTGGGGGTGACACACATCTTTCCCAGCCCTAATTTGGTGCTTAGTTTCAGCGTTTGACGGTCATAAATAAATGAGAAGTTTTCCTAAGATTCAGCCTAAATGAGTAGGTCTGCATTTAGAGAGAGTTCGGTTGGTTCTTGTTTGCAGAGATGACTTGGTGTGCTGACAGCGACCCCCTCAGCGGGGTGTCAGATGACCCGGGTTTCATTTTAAATGTGTTGACAGGGCATGCGGATCTGTTTGCTCTTTCCTGTAAACGTTTTTTAGGGAGACATGAAACCCTGGTAGGAAGGTTCTTATTCCTCGTATTGACTCATCTGTGGCCTCCTACAGATCCTCAGCCTTCCCATCCTTAACTCCTCTTATAAAGCTAGGGCTTCCTTCCCAGCGGCTTGGGAGGCTGAGGCAGGAGGATCGGGAGTTCAAAGCCAGCCCTAGCAAAAGCGAGGCGCTGAGCAACTCAGTGAGACCCTGTCTCTAAATGAAATACAAAATAGGACTGGGGATGGGGCTCAGGGGTCGAGTGCCCTGAGTTCACTCCCTGGATCCCCCCACAAAATGAGAGCTTCCTTACAATGGTCTATTGGGATCCCGAGGAGGCTCCTAAGGTCGGGGTGTGTAGGCTGTACCCCAGGCCAGTTACATCAGAGTCTCTGGGAGTAGAAAAGAACATGGGCATTTAAAACAAAAAAAAATTTAAAAAAAAAAAGCTGCTCAGAGTTAAAAACCTCTTGCTGCAGCCGTGCTTCTCAGACTTTAACATGCAGACAGTCCCCTGGGCATCTGGCTTAAACGTAGATCCTGGTTCTGTGGGGCCTGGGATTTTGTGTTTCTAACAAGCTTCCAGGGGCTGCTGCAGCTGCTGGACCCAGCTTTAAAGAATAAGGTTTGGAATCAAAGCCTCGGCTGGCCGACAAGCCACCGTACGGGCCCAGTCATCATGTTTGCCAAAAAAGTGGCGTGATCGGCGTCCTACAGGGGTGAGCAGAGATCAGGGAGCAGACCAAATCAGGGTGGCTGCACGTGGGAGATGGTGTTCCAGGATGAGGGGGGTTGTTAGTCAAGGGTTATTAATCTCGTGTTTCTCCTGGGAAACAGAAGTCTCCTTGACTAATAGACACACCAGCATACATGGACCAAGTGTGTGCACCAGGTAGCAAGAGAGGATGCAGGCGCAGAGGTGAGTGGTACACCAGCACAGAGGGCTAGAGACCAGGGCAGGGTTGATAATGGAGTTCAAATCCATGGCAGGTGTGCTGGTACGGTGCCTCTTCTTTAAGGGAGATCAGTCTTTAAAAAAAGAAATGAAATAAGGTCTTCAGCTGATTGGTTGAGGCCCACCCATGTGACACAGGGTAATCTGCTTTACTCAGCCTAGCGATGCAGTGCTGCTCTCATCTAAGAATGCTTTCAGCAGAACATCTATTTTCACCTCGACATTTAGAAAAACATGTTGGCCCCACCCCTGGCTACCTGGCCTAGCCATGTTGACAAGCGGAATTCACCACCGAACTCGGGGCAAGGTGCTCCAGTATCTTCTGGCTCTGTGACCACAGAACAGTGGTTAAGAGGCAAGAGCTTGAGTTCCAAGGAAGCAAGGATGACTTATGGCCGCTTCTCGGTCTCTGCTGCTGGGGTTCTGGCAAGTCTTTATTCTGCTATATGCAGAAGAGCTGGACTTCCCAGAGCGGGTGTGGGCCTGGCCGTGGGTGGGTCTGTCCACCTCCCGTCTGTCCTTGTGGACACTGGGAGCCCAGCTGGGCATCTGGAGCCGTCCATCTAGCTCCCTGGCTGTGTGCCCAGAGGAAACGGATTCACAAGGACAAGCACGTGGAAACTCACCTCTAGAGGAAAACCCGCGTGGGGTCCCACGAATCAGACCCCAGGCCTCATTCTCTCGGGAGCTGACTCGTCCGGAAAAGGGGAAAATGAGCGGGGACGGGTCACCCAGCTGTCTCTATGCCGATGTGAGAACCTCGCTTTCCCTGACCTCGATGCCCCGGAAGACACACATTTTACACTGTGACCCAGTCCCTGAGGATCCGCGTAACTGTAAGAACAGACAACTGTGGGTGCCCGGGTAAACGTATGGATGCACGTAAATAAAACTGAATCTGGCTTTTAGGACACGACATTTACCCTTGTTTCTTTGGCACGTGATGCCCTGTGGTAGTTTCTATTTTCTCCATTTCATTTAAAAAAAAGGGCGGGGGGGGGGGAGAAAAGCTGGCCGTGACCTGTTGATCCAATTTCGTGATGCTTAGTGGATCCACACCTTGGGCACATAAGAGCCCCAGGTCTTGGTGGATGGAGTGAAAGTATCTTGCAGGGTCTTGGGATCTGGGGCAACATTTCTGTGACCATGGAAATGTTCTGATCTGCCCAGTTTGACCAGAGACTGACTCCTCGAGGCCACTAAGCATGGAAAATGCGGCTAGTGAGAATGAGGGCTGGGCTTTCAATTTTATTTCTCTTCAGTTAACTTGTGGCTCCTGGGTTGCAAGGCACAGATGCCCTCCCTCTGTCCCTAACCGGCTCACTGCAGGGAACTCTGGCCGGGATCTCACAGCAGGGATCTCTGCACAGACCACCGGCCGGCTCCCCCTGTCTGCATTCTGAGGGTCAGGAAAGCCAGGCTGGATGCTTCTGTAGGACACCCTTGATTAAGTGCCCGGGTGGTGTTACAGATAACACGCTTTGCATTTTTAAATGCTCCTTGAGAAACCTTTTCCTTCTTCTCTTTCAGTTGCTTAATTGCTCGCCTGTGTGACTTGAGTTTGAAAAGACAGATGCTCTCTGCCTGATGAAATCTTAGCAGCTCGTCTTCCCCGCCACTGAGCTCAGGGTGCCATGTGCAACCTGAATATGAGAGGCTTTGTTTTCATCAGTTGCTTTCACCTCAAGGAGAGGAAACTGCTGGCCAGATGGGTAGAATGGCCCAAATGACGATGACAGTGGGCATTTGGGGACATAGGTTAAATCATCAGGATGCTTTTTTTCTTTTTTTGTACTGGGGTTTGATCCCAGAGGTGCTTAACCACTGAGCCACATCCTAGGCCTTTTATTTATTTATTTATTATTTATTTTTTGAGACAGGGTCTTTCTAAGTTGCTTAGGACCTTGCTAAGTTACTGAGGCTGGCCTCAAACTTGCAATCCTCCTGCCTCAGCCTCCCGAGTCCACAGGGTACAGGCATGCGCCATTGCACCCAGCTCAGGCTGCCTTTGGTTCATGTGTTTTATATGTTGTTCGTCATGCTTACAATTCTGTTTGAGGTGTGGTGGACATTATTTGTTTGGATTCCATCAGTTGGAGCCAGAAAAGACTCCCTCTTTCACTGACCCTGCTGGGAAAGTCAGGGGGCCCAGGAAAGAGCAAGAGGAGCAATTTCTTCCCAACTTTCAACAGTGTTCTAGGAACGACCGTCAGCCTTGGCTGAGGGGCTGGGTCTGGCAGAGTGTTGAACTCCACGTCCTGGACGAGCTGACGGTGGATGTGAAGCTCGCAGCCTGCTGACTTGCGCCAGGCCCAGAAGTGCCTGAGACGGCTGAGGCGTCGTCTTGGCTGGCGGGAAACATAAAGAGAGGGACAGAAATCCTAGGAAGAATCTTGATTCATTGATGTTGAGGTTGGGAGCTAAAATAGCCTGCCCCCGACGGGATTGAGTGGCCCGGGGCTGCAGGAGCGTCTCTCCGTGGACTCCCTGTTTTCTCTGCATGTGGATAATAAGAGGAGTGTTTATAAAATAGAGCCATTGTCGCATTAAAGATGAGCCAGGTCAGACCCTCCCCCACATGAAAGCAAGTCGTTTTGTTAAAGGTGGAGTGTTGGCCGAGTGCCAGGCATCTCGCTGAGTTCTCCCCATGACGGTCTGAGCAAGTGACAGTCTTCATTCACAGCTGGGGAAACCGAGAGGTGAGGTCTTGCTCGGGGCTCAGAAAGCGACCCTCCGAAGCGTGTTGATTTGACACACCTCGCTGGAGGAGAAGCCTGCGAACCGCGTCTCCAGTCCTTCCTTTCTCCTGCAGGATGGGAGGGGACGCTTCTAAAATAAATGCAATCAACCGAACCACCTCGCCGACGTGCATTAGTCTGGAAATACATGAAACCGACTGCAACCTTCAGAGGGGGAGGGGAATTTCCTCGCTCCTACGGTGGCTTGTCCAGTGTCACCCAGGGACTGGTGGAGTCTGGGCCCAGATCTACCACTGGAGTCTTTACACGGCTGTGCTGCCTCGCCGCTGGAGGCCTGGCCCGCTGGGGGGACTCAGGGCACCATCCCTGGTGCCCATCACTGGGACAGGTGGGAGTCTGGTCCCCTGAGCCGCGGCTTGCTCGATGGAGGCCGAGGCTGCCTCCTGTGTTTTCTGGGAGACTTGAGCCTGGGCAAGGTGGAGGAATAGGGGGGCCCTCATTCATCCTGAGGTTGGAGACGGGGAGTCCGTGCAAGGGAGAGAGTGGGTCTAAAGGGGAAGACTGTCCTAGCACATGGCCTGCGACTTGGCT